TTTTTTTTTCTGTATTTTTTAGACAAACCTGGTTATGGTAAATCGAAGAGCATCTTTTTTGGAATTTGTAAAGACCTGCCCAAACACGGACTGAGAACACAGCTGATTTCTGAGTTTTGCCGCTAGAATGAATGCCTTGCCGAGATTCCCGCTTTCTGCTGAGCTTTCGGGAAAAAGGGTTGTGATCGGGACCTGGAACGGAGTTACCAGGATAAATATTAGGGCCATGATCAAGATTGTTTACGGGATAAGGATCGACACCGTCGACTAGACCTGGACCGTGAATCTGAGTGGACAGGAACTGGGCTATTCTACGTGCGGATCAGAGGAGGGCTTTATTCTTAAGCTTTCCGGACGGAATTGGGAGTTATTCCACGCTGGAATTGAAGGTGGACCTTGATTGGACCGGCGTCGGGACTTAATCTGCACAGGGACCGGGCGGAGGACCTTATTCTATTTGACTGGACGGGAACCGGCGCGAGGACAGGGGGAGGACCTTATTCTATTTGACTGGAACGGGACCGGGACTTATTTTGCATGGGGACCAGGCGAGGACTTTATTTTATTTGACTGGACGAGAATCGAGACTTATTCTGCTCGGGGACCGGACGAGGACTTTATTCTGTTTGACTGGATCGGAACCAGGACCTATTCTGCGCGGGGACCGGGCGAGGACTATTTTATTTGACTGGACCGAAACCGGGACTTATTCTGCGTGAGGACAGGGCAAGAACTTCATTCTATTTGATTGGACCAGGACCGGGACGTATTCTGCACGAAGGCCAAACAAGGGCGTTGTTCCATTTGATTTGCCCGGGACTGATAGTTACTCTACAGGAGGGACCATACGAGGACCAAGGAAAAGGGATGGTAAAAATGGAACTCGAGCTTTGGCCCCAATGGGCCCACGACTCCACAGTAGACACAAATAGTTCTAGTACCGTTCCTTGAGACCAACGGGCCCGTTACAAACGACACCCCGTGGGCTGACGGATCAGGCGTAGAGTACTTGTGAGATCTATAGGGGCTCTAAAAGATTTCCTAGATTCAGACATTGGACCTATTCCAGAGGCTGGCTGCAGCGCACCTTCGCCTATTATTTTGGACTGAAAAAAGTTCTTTTTCTTTTTCTACCCAGAATTTGACTACATTCTGCATGCAGTCTGTTTTTGTGGGACTAACCTTGTTTGGCTTTGTACAGGTTGCAGGATCCGCAAACAGCCCTCCTGTGGGTGACAGACACGGCCAGACTAAAGGGTTGATTCGACGCGCCGGAAGAACCCATCCGCCGGTCGACACCGTATATGAGCTGGTGCAAGCTCCTGTTTCGCTCACATGCTTATTCTTTTTCTTCCTAGAAATTGACTACATTGTGCATGCAGTCTGTTTTTGTGGGACTAACCTTGTTTAGCTTTCTACAGGTTGCAGGAGCCGCGAACAGCCCTCCCGTGCGTGACAGATACGGGCAGACTAAAGGGTTGCTTTGACGTGTCGACATAACCCATCCGTCGGTGGACACCGTATACGAGGTCGTGCAAGCTCCAGTTCCGCTCACACGCGGACGAAGAGCTCGTCTGGCCGAGAAGCTTGATGGCCGGTGGTTGGCGGAGGTCCAATGACCCCCCAAACGCCTCACGCCAAAGTGCGGGTGTTTATGCTTCGGCCTGGTCCTTTGCATTCTGTGTCCTGAAAGTGGCAAGTCCGCAGACCCAAGCGTGGACTTACTTGCTGATTCCCTTCAGCGAATCGGGTGGCACCCAAGAATAGAGCCAAATACTGAAACCCTCGATCTCCATGTCTCGCAAGATTTGTGATCGATACTCGGGGTCGAGGAAGGCTGCAGCGCAATGCACCTCGGACGCCGTGAACGCCCATCGGTCCATGAGAATGTTCTCCACCGCTACCTTTTCTTCTTGCGTCAGACAGTCAAGGGTCTGCATTTGCACCACAATCTCGTCCATGCCAAAATACACTTTGCTGATGATCGTTCCAGGACCGTTCACCAAAGGCAGCAGCTTCACTACGGGCTCCATGACAGCCAGTGCTCTATCAACCTCATCTCAAAAGCCCTCCTTGTCCTCGATGACGCATGTGATAACGTTGAATGTCGCCACCTGCTCATCCCTCACCAACTTGTCGACCAACGCCACGTTCCTGTTGCTAAGCTCAAGTGAAGTCCTCCCTCTCTTCAGCGACTCCAGCATTTCAAATTTTGTTGCGAACCTCGTGACGGCTGGGCGTTTGAGTTGGGCATCTGAAATTTTATTTAACATCACGCGGACCTTGTTGATGTTGGTCACGAACTTGCCCACTTGGTTTCCCTTGTCAACGACGTCCCTCAGCCAGCCCAATCGCCTGTACATGTCTTCTAATGCCAAGTCCAACGCATGGGCCGTGCATCCCACACTGAAAATCCAGGGTACATCTCCACCATCTTCCCAGCCTTCGAACAAACCCTCTCCATCATGACGTCGATAACTCCATCCAGCAGCTTGAAGTAAGCCGCTGAATCCTTGTCCTTGCCTTCCATGCAAACGGACTTCCAAAACACAATGCCAATCGGGGAGGAAACCATTACATTGAGATGTGGTTTGTTTCTCCTATCCGACCACCCGTCCATTTGCAGCATGCAGCCCGTCCTCTCCCACTTCCTCACAAAACTCTTCATGTTGTCTCCAACAAGTCTATATTACCTGTCCAACCGCTTCGTCCTCATCTCGTCTCTCTTGCACGGCCACCATCTAGGATGGCACTTCTAAACCGCGTCGATGAACTGAAGGAAGTGGATGTTCTCAATCAAGATGAACGGTTGATTCGTGCAAATCAGGAAACGGTCCAGGTATCTGCTGGTCTGTTCATTGTGGGTGACGATTCTGTCCGCCTATTCGATCAGAGTTTGCCTCGTCAGCCGTCCAACCAATGGTGGAGCGTTCGCTGATGTCGTGGGCGTGGCCGACTCCCCAACAGCTGGTACAGGGGGCCTGCATGCTGTCGGAGATGGGACGGCCAAGCTGCTCCTGGACGGGACACTGCTCGGACTCGCACCCGCACAACCCTTCCCTCCGATAAGCGATTCCGCCTACATTGTCCCCATTCGAATTCCTCTATCCTCCTCACCCTCTCCTCTGCGTCCAATGGGCGGGTAACATGCTCAATGTTACACTTATTCTTTAAGAAATGGTCCCTGAGGTTGGTGGCCGAACCTATGAACTGGGTGTTGCAATAGTTGAAGACCTAGTGCATGTGCCCATTGTTCTTGTGCTTCCCAGCTGGACCATTGATCGTGAAGTGCCTCTTGAGGTGTGCACTGAACACCTTAACGAGAGCCATTTTTCCCTCCACATATACAGTATTAATAGCCCTGGAGTCAGCCCTTTCTGTCACTTTTGGAGCAGCCCCCAATGCACCCCCCCCTCCCCCCCACCTTACAAAAGCAAGCACGTGAGATAAGGGGGAAAAAAAAAAACCGCATTCAACAGCCCCCCCGCCCCCACACACACCCAAATATCAGCCTTCAACATCACCGAACCCCTATTTTCGGGGTGCGCCAGAACTGCCTTCAACACTGCCCGACCCCAACGTGCCCCCATAATCCCAATCTCACCCTCCGAAAGAAAGCCCGCGAGTTTTTCTTTCTCACGACCCCTTGTTCTCGGGGTGCGCCCACACCGGCCCAAGCAACCTTCCCCCCCACCCCCCCCGACCCTAACCCATTCTGCAGTGACCACCCCAGCAAGGCACTCAATCTGACAGAAAGCTTTCAAGAGAAAAATAATATTCATGGAAAAAAAAACGGAGGACGACACCGATGATGGAGGGAAGGGGAGGACAACAACGGAGAGAGGAGAAGATCGACAACGAGGGAGGGAAGGAGGAGATCGATAGCGAGGGAGGAGGGGAAAGGGAGAAGGGCGGAGAGAGGACGACGCTGATGACGAAGGGGGGAGGGGGCCAACAGTGACAGAGGGGGGAGGAGTGCGCAGGCAGAAGAGAGAGAGAGAGAGAGAGAGTGCACAGGCAGAAGAGAGAGAGAGAGTGCGCAGGCAGAAGAGAGAGAGAGCGTGCGCAGGCAGAAGAGAGAGAGAGAGTGCGCAGGCAGAAGAGAGAGAGAGAGTGCGCAGGCAGAAGAGAGAGAGAGAGTGCGCAGGCAGAGAGAGAGAGAGTGCGCAGGCAGAAGAGAGAGAGAGAGGGGGAATGACAGCACAGCAGAGAGAGAGAGAGGGGGACTGACAACACAGCAGAGAGAGAGAGGGGGGGAATGACAGCACAGCAGAGAGAGAGAGGGGGGGACTGACAACACAGCAGAGAGAGAGAGATGGGGACTGACAGCACAGCAGAGAGAGAGAGAGGGGGACTGACAACACAGCAGAGAGAGAGAGAGGGGGACTGACAGCACAGCAGAGAGAGAGAGAGGGGGACTGACAACACAGCAGAGAGAGAGAGAGGGGGACTGACAGCACAGCAGAGAGAGGGAGAGAGGGAGACTGACACCGCAGTGTAGAGAGCGCGGGAGTGGGGGGCACTGCAGCGATGCTAGGCGTACGCCGCCCTCAAGGACGAGTAATACAGCGGGAAAGGTTCTCTTCAGTGGTCATCCCGCTGCTGGCGGTGAACAGCAGTCATCAGCGCATTACAATCTGTAATCCCGCTGCTAGCGGGAAAGGCCCTCTTCAGTGCGATTATTCCGCTGCTAGCGGGACACTTCAGTGTAATCATCCGGCTGCTAGCGGGAGCGGTACTCAATCTGGTACTCCAGCTGCTTGGTTTTATTTGGAACTGTGTGCAGGGGTAAAAGGTCAGGTCTATGATCTGCGGGTAGTGGTATTTTTGGTTGTATTTTACTTTATTTTTCTCGTATATTAAATGGCTTTATAAACCTTCATTCTGAACAGTATGAAAAGCGGCATGATAGGCAGTGCAAACCCCGACACCCTGCCGCTCGCTGAGGACCTCGGAAGTGGGAGTGGCGAGTGACAGGCGCCGTCGCGCCTGGCTTCAGCGTGCGGTAGGAGCCCCTCCCCGGGTTTCCTCACACCGGTGTGGGCACTATGCCAGGATGGGGTTGCTGTTGTGGTGAGGTCATAGGTGGAGGGGTAGGAGGAGGAGTGAGTAGGAGTAGGGGTAGGAGATGGTGGGAAGTGCCTGAAGAAGACATCTGATAGTCGTTGTAGGGTGGCATCCATCGAGGCCAATCTGGTCTCTACAGCTGTAATCCTGTCATCCCAGGCCGAAAAAACGTTCCTGGTACGAGTGGATTCCAGCAGGGCCCACTCTGCAAGATTCTGAACAACGTCAGAAACACGGCCATCAGACTTGGCCTTCTCAAAGCTCTCCAGCAGCTCTGCTTGTCTGGCTGCTGTCTTTCCTTTTTTGATCGCTTCTGCCTTTTCTCTCTCAATTCTTTCCACTTCCTTCTGAGCTTTGGCAGCAATTTCCTTTGCTGCTCGCAGGGCGGCTTCCACCGGGTCCTCCACTACTGTTTCTTGTTTCCCCTCTCCTTCAGGTATGGATGTTTCCCCAACCTCCTCCTTTACCTCTTCTGCCATTCTGGTCTTTCAACGTTTTTTATTTATTTATTTCTCAGATAAATACAAATAAAATAAATGTAAAATAACTCAGATTACCGTTCACACCCAGAACTCAGATAACGAGAGTTAGACTGTGTTGTTTTAAAGGTATGGGTTACACGGCAGGTAGTGCCAAATGTCAAAGAACAGTCTGGGAGGTTTCAGGCTCAGGCAAACAGCCAAAACAGTCAACGGAACGGCTACGTCTGAGCCTGGAACCCGAACAAAATACAAAATCGTTTTTGAACAAGCTCACCGCAGAGCGTTCCCGACACTGCTAGCATTCCACAGCAAGGGAGAGAGATACCTTATTTGTGCAATCAAGAAAAAAATAAAATAAAACTGGAGCCGGATTCTTTTTCCCCGCAAATGCAGTCTGGGAAATCTGTGCCCTAATCAAGATAGGAATATGGCATGTGTTGGG